CGTGCCTTGGGCAGGGGGCTGGAACTAGATGAGCTTTATGGTCCCTTCCAACCCAAACTAGCCTGGGATTCTATAAAGTTCCTGGCCTGGACAGGTGCCCACGAGAGGATGTGAGGTGGCTTCTGTATTTTGAATCAGGATCCGGAGTATGGAGCAAAGATGATATTTGCCAGGCTGATCCCCAGTGTGTGATGGTTGGTGGATGGGAAGAGGACAGATTTTAACCAGCTCAGAGAGGATGCTGAAGGATTAACTTGTGCTTCCTTTCTTTTTCCTCCTTCAGGATGAAGAGATGCAGCTAAGAAAGCGCAGGAACCTCCCCAGTGTGGAGAGCCAGGCGAGCAGCACGGGAGAGCCGGAATAGTGCTCGGGATAGAGCTGAGCGCCACTTCCCATCCCACCTCCAGCAGCTCTATTTATTTATTAACTATTTAAAGAAAACCAAACCACTGTTATAGTTGAAATTAAGCTTTTGTCCTTCTCTAGACAGGGTTTGAGGCATTCAGCTGCCAGCTCAGAGCACAAGATCATGCCCCGTCCCTGTAGTGAAGGGTGGCTGACATGGGCCATGCTGCCTGTGCAGGTGCCTGAGGAGCAGCCAGTGGTTCATCACTCTGAGATGGGCAGAGGGGGAACATGCAGTTAGATGCTGCCTTGAGTCCTGCTGCTGCAGGTTCTAGGCGCTGTTTTTACTGTGAAGGCCCAAAGACTGTGGGATATTAACTGACCATGTGCAGAAAATGAGGTATTACCCGTGTGTGAAAAGGCTGGAGCAGCACCAGAGACAGGGAGGGGTTTGCAGGTCATTTTCTTTTCATCTGGATCAGGTAACTAATTAACTCCTCAGTGTCTCAGCCATGATCAGCTCTGACAGCAGCCAGTCTCAAGGTATTGTTCTTGAAATCTAAACCTAAAGAATCAGTTGATGTGAACAGGAGCTATAGATCCTGTGTCCCTGAGCCACCAGCAGAACAGTCGCTGACAGATCATGGAGCTGACACTCGGAGGTAACTCTGGAATCACAACTGGCTGTGTTTGCCCTGTGAAATAAAGTTATTTTGCTGGATTGAAATGTCTGTGTGGTTCTGTGCGTTGGGACCCACAGAAAGAGAGTTGTCAACACTGAGAGCTTGGCTTGGCTCTGCTTGTATCAGACTTGCAGAGGAACACGTGTGGCTTTCAGCTCCCAACTCCAGCAGAAGTCACTTGGGTTGTCAAGCACTGGACTCTCCAGTGCCCTCCCCTGCTGAGGGCTGCAGGGTTGGTGGGAGCCGAACTCTTTCACAGGTCCCCGGCACTTGCTGCTCTTGTCTCATGTCTGTCACTACCAGCAGCTCCACTTGGCTGGATAATGAAGCTCATCCTTGCTCTAAGTGAGCCCTTCTGCTCAGCACACCTCTGGGTACTGTTGCTGGAGGGGGTTTGTCAACCAGTCTGAGCACTGAGACACTGCTCAGAGCTGCTGTGATGCCTCCAGGCATGACCAGAGCTGGGCTGTGCCACTTGAAGGCCAGAAACGTGTTTGGTGGCACCACAAGGGACTGGGGCAGCTGTAAATGCTGCAAAGTGTGACCTGTTCTCTGTGCTTAACCTCCTCTTCTCTGACAGCATCATGTTTCCTCTGTGGTGCCCATGGATGTGCAGCCTTTACCCAGGGCAGCCATTCCTCTTACACAAATGTTTTCATATGTCAAAGCCTCGGGTCAGTGCTGCCTTCACAGAGGAACCCAGCCCATCCAGCCCCCCAGCCCATCCAGAAGTGACGGAAGTGATCAGTGACCTGGTCTCTGATGCAGGTTTTGGTTAATGCCATTGCACAGAACGTGCTGCAGCTGCTGGAGGTTGTTCCCTGCTGTTGGAAAGAATTAATTCTTACAAAGAAAACTTGAAACTGGCTTTTGCAGTGGAGGCGGAGCCGCCGCGGTTCTGCGCAGCACAGGCTGGCTGCTGGGCTGGAGGATTAGTTCCTGTTGAGGTTGGTTACAGGGTGAGCTGGTGCCTGGGGAGTCAGGCAGCGAGTGGAGGTGAGCACTCACCTTAGGGCTGTGCTGAGCTGAGCTGCTCCAAGCACATCTCCTGCAGCAGCAGCACCATTGAGAGCTTTGTTTCCTGCAGGGGGGCTGCAACCAGCTCTGAGTCCCTCCGGGTCTGTGTGGTTACAGAACAGGAACCTTCCCTTGGGAAATGGAGAACGGGGCTGGAGTAGACTAAACCCTAGAGACGACCAGCATGCTCTTACCAAGCCCATCCCAGGCCAGTGGCCTTCAGCCTTCAAAGGCCACATGTCAAAACAAAAGTGCCTTCAGCAGAGGTTGGATCAAGCCTCCTGGTGATGGGCAGGTTGTTGTTTGTCAGTCACCTGCGCTGTGCTGCCCACAGCAGTGACCAATTCTGCTCATTCCCTTTGCTGAGCAGTCGGGGGCTGGATGGGCACCACCAGTTCCCTTCCAGAGGATGATGGTCTGTCAACCTGAACCCAGCTCTTGCAGTGCTCTGTGCTGTTCCGGGAGAGCTCTTCCCCTCTGCTCAAACAGGTAATTCATTTCCAAGTTGTGGATTCCAACTCCAAACTTCCTGGCAGCTGGATTTGTTCCCAGAGTCTGGTTGAGCTGCTGGGCTGGTGGCCTCATAGGCTGAAGGAGTCACTGCAAAACTGATCTCCTGGGGGTGCTAATTAGAGCCTCCGTTTGCTCTCAGCGCTGTTCGATGGGGAAATGGCACTTAGCTCAGATGTGTGAAGACAGAAGAGAAACCTCTGATGTGAGACTGAAAGTCTCTTCTACATAATTGATCAGAACTCCCCTCCCAAGCTGCATTCGCCAGAGCTGAGCCCTGGACAAGAAACCAACCTTCTCTTCTAGAGGAACGGAAAACAATTATGGTGCCACTTTAAAAGCAAAGCTGTTGTCCCAGTTGCGTTGCTGTGGCCATGGTCTGCCCAGCGCCTGCTCAGGCCATGCAGGGACCCGTCAGTGGTCCAGCCCCATCCTGCGCTTACACCCAGGTGCATCCCGATGGTCCTGCTCTCATGTGTGCAGTTCTGTGCTTGGGGGTTTTACACAGTCCCTGCTCTCTTAGACACTCAGCCAAGGAGTCGGTGGAGAAGGTGGTTTGGAAGAGCCCGGCTCCCTGTCCCAGCACCTGGTGGGTGCTGGATTCATCTGGAAACCATCTGATCTCCCCGAGATTTCTTCATGGCTGTGTGACATCCCCTAAAGCATGAAGTCTGACCAGCAGCTGCGTGAACCTGGCCTTGCTGGAGGAGACAAGGTGGCCTGAAGGTTTCATCTTGGGTGAAGAGAACATGGAGCTTCTTCCCACAACAAGCCTGATGCCAGCCAAGGCCAAACATGAAGCAGCAGGATTGGAGCGAGGTCCTAAGGAGCTGTGGCTGTGAGTGGCAGCCAAAGTGGGAAAGGCTTCCTCAAAGCCATTGTCTTGACAGGTCTAATGGTTGCCCATTGCAGGGGTAAAGCCTTGACTGAGCTTTCAGAAACAGGTCCTAGTGATGGATTTGCAGCAGGATAAGCTCAGCCTGGGCTGAGCCCCTCCAAGCAGAGAAGCTGTGGCTGCCCCATCCCTGGCAGTGTTCAAGGCCAGGTTGGACACAGGGGCTTGGAGCAACCTGCTCTAGTGGAAGGTGTCCCTGCCCGTGGCAGGGGTTGGAGCTGGAGGAGCTTTAAGGTCCCTTCCAACACAAACCATTCCATGATTTAGCTGCTTTTTAATATGGCCTCATGAGCTGTTCAGCTCATTGCACCAGCACCAGCGGGGTTTGGGATGAACAAACCACTGTTGCCAATGTGGTTTCCAAACCCTCGGGAAGCCCTTCCCGGGCAGGGACATTGCTCTGTCCCATGCTGTGGGGCCCCGGCTCTGTCTGTGAGGGCTCCCACTGCAGATGCTCAGGTTTGTCCCCGTGTGGAGCCGGTTGTGTCCCTGCAGCCCCCGGGCTGTGCGGCGCAGCAGGAGCGGGGCTGCAGCAGGACCCTGCGCTGCTCCTTCCCCAGCAGACGTCATTCTCCCTGCGTGTTTGCTCCAAAATTAAGCTCATCTTATTTACTCGTGCTTCCCTGACCCCGCAGCGTGTGAGCTTCCCTGCATGCCGCCTGAGGACTGTTTCAGCTGTCAAGATGCGGGGGCTTTGCTGTGCCTCTGGGCTGAATTTACTGTTGCTGTGAGTAAGAGCTGGAAATAAAACCAGCAAATGAGAAACACAGCAAATGTGTTCCCCTCCCGCAGGGCTCTGCGAGGCCGGGCTGAGCCCACGGCGCTGCCACCCTGCTGGAACACAGCCATGGGGAGCGAGGTGCCACCATGGGACTGCGAGGCAGGAGCAGGAGCCTTTGGGGTTGTTGGGATGTTGTTTGTTTGGTGAAGGCGATTTTGTGTTGGGGCTTTTGCTGGTGCCAGGGCACAGACTCTCATCAGCAGTCGCTGGCTGATGGGTAATTCTGCTCCATGCTCCTTGTCCCCCTTCCCTCCTTTGGGTCACAGAGGGTTTGACCCTCTTTTTTCCCCGAGGCCCTAATTTAGGTTTTGATACCGACACCTTCCACTAGAGCAGGTTGCTCCAAGCCCCTGTGTCCAACCTGGCCTTGAACACTGCCAGGGATGGGGCAGCCACAGCTTCTCTGGGCACCCTGTGCCAGTGCCTCAGCACCCTCACAGGGAAGAACTTCTGCCTCAGAGGTCATCTCAATCTCCCCTCTGGCAGGTTCAAGCCATTCCCCTTGGCCTGTCCCTACATCCCTTGTCCAAAGCCCCTCTCCAGGTTTCCTGGAGCCCCTTTAGGCACTGGAGCTGCTCTAAGGTGTCCCCTTCAGGAGCCTTCTCTTCTCCAGCTGACCCAGCCCAGCTCTCTCAGCCTGGCTGAAGAGAATACACCATAATTGTGTGTCAGGATTGTTTCTGGACACACTCCGCACGCTGCAGGACCAGCCCTGAGCAGCATTTCCAGGGCTGGGAATGCAGCTGGGGCTGAGCTTTACTTAGCAGCAAGGTGGTATTTCCCAGGTAACTGGCTCTCACTGGGCCCAGCAGCAGCAGGGATGGCTCTAATTAAGCCTCACATCATCAGGGGACTACAGCCTGGAATGTGCTTCCAGTCAGGAAGCAGCTGGGCCTCCAGCTCTGGCAGTGCAGAGGTTTATCTGTGAGGAGTGACATTTTGGTCCAGCGTGGCCTCGATACAGAACGAGCCGCCAGCTCCACAGGACACCCCGGTTCCAGGCAGGAGCTGGTGCCGGTGTGGCACAAACCCTGGTGATCGCTGGCAGCACTATTCCTGGCACTCCTGGCTTTACAGTGGCTCTGTCAGGGAGAGCAGGATGAGAGCCGCGGGCGATGCTGTCCTCGCAGGAG